ACCCCTAAAATGAGCGAAAGGTGGTCTGGTTTTACAGGGGTGCCTAGTAGGCGTGTTGGGTGGACGTCTGAAGAGCGCTTTTTTTTCAGTCGGGAGAAGTGAACTGCTAAGCTAGGAGAACTTGTTGGGACAACTCTTACGCACTCCTAAAGTCTGTAAGAAGACAGGTCCCTTCTAAATCCAGCGTTACTTTGGGAATATTATGCACGTAGTAAGTCAGAACCCACTTGATTTCAGAGCATACATAAAGTGAGCGATGTTGCTCTCTGGTAGCAGTCTGAGACTGGAGCCAGCTCAGCCGCTGAGTGCAGCAGTTGGTCTAACTTGGTGCCACTGCAGGAGCCTTGAAGCTGCTCCTGGTGCTCTCTGTGTTTTTACCTCCTTCCGTCATCTTATGAAGTGATGTTTGACATTTTAATTGATTATTCCTTAAATTGGTTATTCCTTCTGAGTGAAGCAGATCTAAAAGGCAGCCAATCAGAGTGATGTAACTGCATTTCCAAAAGCCTTTAGTAAAGTCCTTCTTGATGTAAAAACGTTTCAGGAAATTGTCAAGTTGGGAAGCAGGGTATTGCCATATTTTAAAAAAGAGGCAGATTTCCAGCTTGTCAGGGATGGCAGCGGGTGAAAGACCTCACTCTCAAGATGTGAAATTTTCACCTTCTTATAGGCAGTCAGAAATCATTGCAGTGGAGGTAGGGTTTCATTCCAGGTGTTTCAGCTGTGTCTAAGCATTTTTGGTTATTATTGGAGGAGAACCTTGGAGAGTCTCAAAAAGCTGTTGTGACATGAGAGCAGAATTAAGGCAAAGAAAGAGTTATTTTAAGCTCCATCGTCTCCTTTGCCAATAACTTCATCCCTCCATGTCTTTTCGTCTTAGGGCTTCCGTTATGTTTTAGCTCCCACCTGAAGAACAAGCCTTGGTGTTTTCTGGCAGATGTCCAAAGAGTGGTTTGCCACTGTCTCAAGGTGTAGCTGACTCCATGTTAACATTTTCATAGGAGGGTGAGCAGGTCCCCTCTAACAAGCACAGAGAGCAGGCAAGGGAGAAAATTCTGGTCCACCTCATGAGTGGGCTCGACTTAGCCCAATGAGTGAGTATGCACATCTGTGCTTGGAGGCATAGCTGACTCCTCACTCTCGCTGCATGAATTGAAACCAGCTGCTTGTGTTTTCTTCTTCAGCAGTCCTTTATATCTGTTCTCAAGTCAGCTTTTCCAGAGAGAGGAACAAAAAGATGAGGTTCTTCTAAAAATGAGGTCTAAAATCCTTGTGGATCTTTTTTTCTCGTTCCTTCCAAACAAGCAATTGACTCTGTAAGGTCCAAGAGCTGTGTCTCTCTGCTAGCTCTGCTAGGAATGTAAAATAGATTTTCATAAACCCATTGCTCTTCTGCTAGACACTTTTGCTAGCGTGTGTGTAATTTACACTAAAGAATCGATCTAGTCAGTGAAAATATCCCAAGAGAGAGTTCTATGACATGATGCCAAAGGATCTTATTGAGGCAGTGCGCTTTATATAACACAACTACCAAACCAGTTTGAATATTCATTTAAATACACAAACTTGAAAAATGTCAGTAAATGTTTTTCCTAAGGTTAGACAGGTATTTGCCAGTGTTTAGTCATGAATTTAATAGTATTTGTCCCGTATTTTTATAGTGTTTGACTATAGCAGAGATTTATTAGTCTTACAGGAATTGATATAAAATTAGCCAACACACCTAGAAGGACTGGACAAAATGTATAGCTACATCTTGTGCTGTTGGAGACCTAAGTACTGTACTGCAGTGCTCTGGCTAAGAAGACACCGCCGTATTTATGAGTGGTTATTACCTACAAAATACCAGTACAGATTAGTGAGTTGCGTTTCAGTCTCTCACTTGGGAAATTGCTATGCTCTTTTTGCACTAAATGTGATGAAAGACTCAACCTTTTCCTTCTGCTGCCTGCGTCACTGGTTCACTGGAGGCAGTTGTTGTCCTGGGATATTGTAAATCTGAACTGAATGAAAGAGAAATTCTTTGACTAGGTCAGTCTCAGGTACACATTTCTTAACTTTTTGAGAACAGTATTACAAATACATGCAAACAAAGTGCCTGATTCTTTTTATATTGAACTGTATTTCAATGGTTTCATGAGATGAAGGGAAAAATCCTTTCATTTTTCTATTTTTGGAAATGATGTTAGTGTCTAGATGAATGGATGTTCCAGAATAAGCAACGGAAGCAGCACAAACCCAGGCTAATGTCAGGGAACAGGGTTTCGCACGTGGCTGTGGGTAGATCTGAGTGCCTAGGCAATTGTCCTCTGGGCGCACTTCAGTCACCTCCTGCTTGTAGTATATGGAAGCAGGGAACTGTAGGATAGCCCCATCATCTTAGTCAACGATGATGGTTGTGCTGGGTAGAAAAGACTCATCTGCACTGGTTTTTGTCCTAGGAAACGAAACCTAATGTCACAGCCACTGGCTTGAATCAAGGTAAGGCACAATGTGCTTTCATGTGCCTTCACTGTCTGCCTGGTGCTAGGGCTGCTCTACAGCACTGTGCTGGTGTGGGAGAAAAATGTGGCCCAGTTGTGGTAGGCCTATGGAGTAGCAGTGGAATATAATGGCTAAATATGCCCTTATATTTAAATAATACCTGTGCATAGTCATTTATCAGACTTTATTAGAAGAGTATAATATATATACTGCTTTAATAGTAGTGGATTGAAATAGGAGATTATCAAGAAACCTAAGGGAATAGTTTACCGAGTTTGGAGACGTCATGGATTTAGGAACATTGAGGAAAAAGCCAGTTTGTTATTTCAGTGCCATAAGGGCAGTAGCTGACACGTGTAGGAATATGATGTTAGACTCTTTACTGATGCATTGTGCAAAACTTAAAAGAAAAAATTTGAGACAGCTTTCACTCTGCCTTCAGGGTTTTGGGTTTTTTTCTCAACGCTGTCTTCCTTTGTTATCTGTGCCAGAAGGGAAGGATGACTCTTATTTATATAATGTATCTTCTCAGAAGTCAATGAAGTGAGAAAGGGGTTCTGAACAACATAATGCTTGCCTGGCTTTTTTAGCATTGTTATTGATGCCCTGCAAATGCCTTTGAAATGTTTCTTAGAATAACTACACTGGAAATTTTTCTGAAAATTTTGATACTGGATCCTCAGTCTAATTGAAATGTGAACAAAAACATCTGAATATATGAAAGAGGAAATAAGTTAAAAAGCTTTCTGCTGAGGTGTGTCATCAGAAGAGAAGAATTTCAGAGATCTACTTGAAAATACTTGCCCTCAAATTTAAAGACTAGAGATCTTTGTTACTAAATTGTTAGTAATTCCTTTTTTAAAAAGTTGCTAAAAGATATTCAGTTGCAACAAAAACTGTATGATATTTTCATAAAATCATGGAATAGTTTTGATTGGGAAGAACCTTTAAAGATCATCTAGTCCAACCCTGCTGCCATGGAGAGGAATGTCTTTCACTAGGTCAGGTTACTTAAGATGTCCCAACCAATGGGGTGGTTGGCCTAGATGATTTTTAAATGTTAATTTTTGTTTTCACATTATTTTAGATGGGACAACTTGGGTTAATTTTAAAGTGTCCATATAGAAATAGTGAAGAGTGCGAACAGTCTCCAGTGAGTGACTTCAGACTACAATCCTCTTTGGTCGTTGTTGTATTGAAATTGCTGTTGAAACTCACTTATTTTTCAGTTTTTGATCTTCTGCCATATTCCAACAAGAGAGTGGCAGCAAACCTCTTGCAACAAGCGCTTGGTGATCCTACGCTGGATGCAATGTACTTGCTCTCAACATTCAAACTGCAACCAAAGAGCACAGCCACCATATTTGGCCTGTATTCATCAACTGACAACAGCAAATATTTTGAATTTACGGTAATGGGACGGATGAATAAAGGTGAGTTGTTTGGAGTACATAGGGGAAAACTAGTGTTGGTCTGGTCCATAGTTATTGGTGTGTCGCAGATGGATATTGAAAACTGCCGTGATTAACCTTTGTGCTTGAGCCATTCCTGTTGCATGCTGTCACCATTTAGCCTCCCCCACCTCCAGTCACAAGACAGAAGTTTTAGTTATATCCCCTCTCGCTCCCCTTCTTTTTCCTTCCTCTCACTGGATGCTACTCTCATGCCCAGGGGAAGCTGACCTGACAGTGTGCTGGCATCTCCACAGCAAAAGCTGTGGCTTTTGCTCTGAGCAATGCTGAGAAAGGAAGAAAATAATGGAGTACGGAGAAAGGAGTCAATTTGTGTGTTTTTGTTTTTCCTTTTTCTTTTTCCCCTTGGGACAATCACTGGTTCTTATTACTCAGGAATGCGAGGGACACATGCACATGCTGCTTCATGCATATGAAAGGCAGGTTCTTGTTCTGCTGACCCTGGAGGTTAGATGTGACTACAAAAGACAAACATTCCATTCACTTCTGGGATCTTCTGGGTGAATTAAAATGTTTATTCTCCTTTTACTGAAATTGGTTAATCAGGAGTCAGGGTAGGAACTTCAGCAGAGTTTTAGAAATGGAGAACTGTCATCACTTTCTGGAGCAGATCTAGGATATATTGCAATTTTAAGGTTCAGTGAAAAATTGTCCGTTGGTGTAAATTATTGTTGCTCCGTTGACTTCACCACTGCTATGATAATTTGCTGCTGCAAATGCTGTATTTCTGCAACTAAATCCTATATACTGAGAAACTCTACTGGGAAATTTTAGTTCATACATAGGAAAATTGTTCTATATATGCTGAAGAAAAGCACACCTTTCCTTGGAAAGAATAAGGGAATGGGTTAAATAAAATGTTAGTGTTTTTATCAGGCCTGATAAAATCCTTCTGAGGTCAGGGAATGAGAACTTTTGTGCTATGTGTGTGTCGGGGGTTGGTCACACAGCTTTATCAGTAAGTGTCATCAGTAAGTAACAGTAACGTACCTAATTGCTAAATAAATTATAGATCATACATACTCCTTCTCTCCCCCCCCACTTCTGTGTGTAAATGTTATATATATATACACACTATATATATATATATATACACAAATATATTTACCCACACAAATATCTCTATATACATGCAATTCTGTACATATCAAACTCTTCTCTTGATTTCCAAGAATACCTGCATGCCTGATTGTTACTGATACACTTAAATTGAAGAGGCTTTCTGGTGGCAGGTTATATGGCATCTTTTGATTTTGTCCTCAGTATGTTATTCTTGTATTTGAGAAGTGTCTGTGACAGCATAGTGGCATATAGATAGGCAGCATGAACTTGCCTGGTCAGTGGCCACTGTTGAGTAGATGGAAGACATCTGTAACATTCCTATTGTAAAGGACTGATCAAACAAAGGGGAGGCTTTTTACAGCAAGGCTGTTTTGTTGAGGACTTATTACTTTAGTGCACATTGTTTAAGGTGTATGGCAGTGTATGAGTAGTAGGCGGTGTTTTCACGTGTGATATCTCTGTGTCAAGTGTCCCATATGATTACTGCATACAGTAAGTTAAACTGCATCCAGAAGATCATGATCTTCTGGATGATCTGGAAGTATGGAGCATGGGTGCTGTTTGTGATCCTCTCAAGACTGGAGATCATCACTTAATGGTGAGCCAGTGTTGGTGTCTTAGCACAACGCAAGGTCTACATATCTGTGGTTTTGGAAAGGTGCACATGTGCATAGTACTTCCTCTGCATGGTACTCCTACTTACACACCCAAATCTGATCTGAGTAACCCAAAGCAGGCCTTAGTTATCCCCTGAAGTGCCACATTTGAGAGCTGTGTTCCAAATGATTTGTTCGTGTTCTGTTTTTTTTGTGGTATACCTGGTACTAAAGTGTTTGTAATGCCTGAATGTTTTTAAAGCACAGATCTGAATTACTGGGGAACTGCTTAACTTATTTTGATTAGACCAACATACTTTTCAAAGGCAAACAGCATCCATTGGTTTCTTACCCTTTACGAATGTTTCCTTTAAGGAACAAATAGCAGTAAGTACCTAAAAGGGATGCAACTTCAAAATTCTGTGAAGCATTTCCTATTTACTGGCAGGATTAGTAGTTTAATTGAAAATCTGTTTCTTAAGCAATACAGGTAAATTATTTACTGTCACAAATGCCAGTGCAGAATATCCTAGCAGCAAACACATGATGCAGGGACTTGGATGAGTTAAATCTTGTAGGGGCTGTGGTCCAGCAAAACCTCCCTTCAAAATCCTACTCTAGTTTACCAGATGGATATTTGGCTTTGGCTGAGGAAGGAATACTTGATCCTCCTTCCAAGCCAGACTGCTACTTGTCCTGAAACTATTCTGGCAGAGTTTATTGCGGTTTTTTTTTATTTCCCTAGCTTATTGCTGCGTTTGGTCAATCTGAATGCAGGGCCCAGATCCAAAGACCTTGCTTTCATATGTAGGTGTGCATAATATTCACACAAGTCAAATGCCTGCAATGCACCCTATCTTGTCAGATCTTTGAGTTTGCCAAGAAATACTACCTTTCAGCAAATTACTAGTGACTTCGTGCACCTTTGCAGAAGTCTCAACTCTGGCAGTGTTTTGACATAGACAGCAATGAAAAGATTCCTGGTATTGATCACAGCTGCTGAGACTTTAGCACTAGTGTAGACTTTGAAGATGGAGCCATACCCTGCCCTGTTCAGGCTGTATAAAACTGGATTCTTTTAATTATTAGATTGAGGAATTAGAAAAATACTAAGGAACATGTACCAAATAACTCAGATCTGTGACAAAAGACGTATTACAGAATTAAAGCAGATACGTTAGCAGTGGAGACAGACTAAGATAATTTGTTATGTGAATAGAAATGGGTAGGTGTTGTTAACTCTGAAGTCAAGAAGAGATTTTTCCCTCCACTATATCCATGTTTTTTAGTTGATGTCATGTTAATCTAGTTGCTTCTTGAAGCTCAGAGTATTTGTGAGCTCTGGCCCAGTGCAACAGTAGCAAACCTCTGTGAACTTGAAAGAGATGTTCACGAGAGCCAGTTGTTGTGGTGCTGGCATCTGTGTAGCTTGACTTCTCAACGCAACTGTCTGTTATCATGACATTCAGGCTAATAATCAGTGGGATCATGGAATAATGACTGTCTAACTTCGTAGAGTAGTTATTCACTGTCTAGATGCACTCAGCTTGTTACTTCTGCAGATACGCAAGCAGAGAGCCAGCAAGAGATTTTGTGGAGAGAGCAAGCTAGATGGTCAGATTTAGCTTGCAGATCCTAGCTTACTGATCCAATTTCTTCAGGAAAGGGACATTTTTTCAATATTACGCAGCATGTAAGAGTTTTTCTTTGTCTGCTGTTGTGTTTTTTGATGGTGCATTTTACTTAATAAAACAAGAATTAGTTGCATGAATTATCAAGTAGGTCATTCACTAATGCCTTAAAAAAGAGTTATGAGAGAGCTTAGTCATCTCTGGGAGAGGAATATGTCTTTTCTGCATTGTGTTTTGGTTTTACTTACTCTTTGTTACAGAAAAATGCTTGGAATCTTTCTTCCTTTGGTTTCTTTAGTGATGTGTTTGGATATAATTTCAGATGGCTTCACTGAAAGGGATTTTTCTCCTGGTACGTTTCTGCTACAGAGTATTTCTAGGTCAATTAGTTATGTACTTGCCAAGGTGCTGACTGCAGGCTGTCCGCTACACCCTTTACCGCTTGTATTTTAGCACGATATGCTCTGTTGTATGGCATTGGCTAAGGCAGTTAGAGCGGCCTGGGCAAAGCAATGGAAAACACTGTGCAGCCAGCAAATGTGGAGTCATGCTGGAGTCCTGGTAAACGTGCCCTGAGAGTCATTATCCCACTTATTGTTACCATTTGTATCTGCATATGGGATGCATTTACAAAAGCTGATATGTGGAAAAATACCAAAGCAATTTCCGATTTCCACAAGATCTTCCTTGATCAGCCGTGGGTTATCTGCTACCCTCTGATGGTCCCTCTGTGTATTTTGTACTAGTGGTGCTGCGCTATCTGAAGAGCGATGGGAGGCTGAATTCAGTGATCTTTAGCAACATCCAGCTGGCTGATGGGAAACCCCATGCTGTCATCTTGTGGCTGAGTGGCCTGCAGCAAGGATCGAACACAATGGAGTTATATCTGGACTGCCTGCAAGTAGGTGCTGTTCAGGACCTGCCAAGAGCGTTTTCAGCACTATCTCAGAGGCTGGCGACAGTAGAGTTGCGCACTTTCCAGGAGAAGCCACAGGTAAGTGGGAAAACTGGGAGCAGGCTGAGCACTTAGAGGGATCACAAAGGATCCTCCAGCCCTCAGTCCTCACAGCAGCCACACTCTATACAATGGTCCTTCAGTAATACTTGAGTATTAACTTTGAAAATAAATGTAAATGAAAATTCGCCATGGAACAGGTTAAATCTTACCTTCATTGAATCCAGTAGTAGTTATGCTATTAGTTTTAAACAGAATTTTTAGCTTACTTAACAAAGAAGAAAGAAAGAAAGAAAGAAAGAAAAAATTACTGCCTTCCTCACTGCAGTCTAGGCGTCAGCTTCTTATAGGTGTTCAATACGAGCAACGCTTGGCTGTGTATGTGGCTTTGCTTTTGTGATAAGCCACATGGACTAAAAAGACAAAAGAATGGTGGAGAGTCCAATCCATGTTTGTTTGACTTCAACAGCTTTTTTTCCCTCTGTCTACCAACCAGAGGTTGGCATAGCTTCCAGTCATCTCCATACCAGCAGTCTCTTCCACAAGCATCTTCCATCATCATTAATGCAAAATATGCATTAGAAGACACAAAGGCATTCTGCCCCCAAGTTTGTCCCCTCGCTTTGTATCATTGCAGGCTTGAAAATTAGCCTGTTTATATGGAGGATCGCTGAGGTGCCTACATTTCTGATATCAGTGTAAACCTGTTGGGGTGGCATGGAAGACTGCTTTGAATTCAGTTCAACACCAACAAAAAATCATACTTGTATACTGCAGGTATAAAAATATGTAAACTTCCTGGTATGTTAGATCGTATGTATTGGAATAGTGAAAAAAAGTTCAAAATAAAACCATAGCTATGTGAAAATCTGCAAGGCAAAGATTAGGGATTTTATTGCAGTTCGTATGGTGGTGGGTGGTCCTGAAGGGGACAGTGTAGCTGCCCTGCATGCTTAGAAAAGGGGCAGACTCTCTAAAAGATTAACTTTGTCTGATACTTCACATTTTTTCCATTGTTGCACCGGAATTGTGAACTCTGTTTCTCTTATGAGTCCAGGATACCCTAGATGAGCTGAAACTGGTAACTGGAGGAACACTTGCCCAAGTGGGGAACCTGCAGGATTGTTTTCTTCAACAAATTGAACCTATTCCTCAGTACACCGGTAAGGCCTCAACCAGAAGTTAAAATTATTCCTTTGGATATCAACGCAAAGAAGCCAATGTGATGAATATTAAAAATGTAGGGAAGCTCTATAGACAAGTTATAACAATTGCTTGGCTTAATTACAGCGATTGTAATTTCCTCTAAATGTTTTGGAAATAGGTAATTTTGGAGAGAAGACAGTCACTGTTGCTGGTAATAAAGCAATGAGCTGTTGTCCTAGTGAAGGAGGAGTCTGTAATGATTAAAAGAGGCTTTTTAGCCTAATTTAGAAGACAGACTTTTGTGATCATGATCTGTTTGTGTCCAGCTTAATATTTTAAGTATTCAGATTGCAGACAGTTTTAGACAGGAAGTAATCCTAAATGTGATACACTGCTACAGGCTTTATAAAAATAGATAGATGAATAGAGCAGCAAGACCTATAAATGTACTGATCCATATGGCCAGTATTCATCATTGGTTGATTGCTGGAATGTCCTGGAGTGGGGAGGAATAAGGTGTGAAGAAGGACACGAGAGGCTGCAGACCGTGTTGGCGCAATGGCTACAGAGCTTGAGGATCTGTGTGGGAATCACAGAATCTCTTTGGCTGGAAGAGACCTTTAAGATCATTGAGTCCAACCATTAACCTAGCACTGCCAGGTCACCACTAAACCAAGTCCCCAAGCACGAGATCAACATGTTGTTTAAATACCTCCAGGGATGGTGAACCCACCACTGCCCTGGGCAGCCTGTTCCAATGCCCGATGACCCCTTCAGTGAAGAACTTCTTCCTATTATTCAGCCTAAACCTCCCCTGACACAACTTGCAGCCGTTTTCTGTAGTCCTGTCACTTGCTACTCAGGAGAAAAGGCTGACCCCTCCTCTCTCCAGTCCCCTTTCAGGTAGTTGTAGAGAGTAATAAGGTCTCCTCTCAGCTTTCTATTCTCCAGGCTAAATAATCCCAGTTTCCTCAGCCACTCCTCACAGGCCTTGTGTTCCAGACCCTTCATTAGGTTTGTTGGCCTTTTCTGGACACGCTCCAGCACCTCAATGTCTTTCTTGTAGTGAGGGGCCCAGAACTGCGCACAATACTTGAGATGTGGCCTCACCAGTGCTGAGTACGCAGTCATGACCACTTTCCTATTCCTGCCGGCCACCCTATTTTTGATACAGGCCAGGATGCCGTTGGCCTTCTTGGCCACCTGGGCACGCTGCTGGCTCATGTGCAGCTGGCTCATGTGCAGCTGGCTGTCCACTAACACCCACAGTTCCTTTTGTGACATGCAGTCTTCCAACCACACATCCCCAAGTCTGTAGACTTCCAAGGGGTTGTTGTGGCCCAGTGCAGGACCCAGCACTTGGCCTTGTTGAACTTCATAGTTAGCCTTGGCCCATTGATCTAGCCTGTCTAGATCCCTCTGCAGAGCCTTCCTAACCTCCAGCAGATTGACACACCCACCTAACTTGGTGTCGTCTGCAGACTTAGTGAGGATGTACTTGATCACCTCATTTAGATCATTAGTGAAGATATTAAAAAGCACAGGCCCCAGCACTGAGTCCTGGGGGACTCCACTTGTGACCAGACTTTTTACTCCCTTCACTACCATGCTTTGGGCCCAGCCTTCTAGCCATTTTTTTAGCCAGTGCAGAGTGTACTTGTCCAAGTCTTGAGCAGTAAGCTTCTGAAGGAGAATGCTGTAGGAAGCAGTGTCAAAGGCTTTGCTGAAGTCCCGGTAGACAACATCCACAGCTCTTCCCACATCCACTAAGCATATCACCTTGTCATAAGTGGAGATCAGATTGGTTGGCCAAAACCTGCTCTTCATAAAGCTGTGCTGACTGGGCCTGATACCCTGGTTGTGCTGTTTGTGCCGTGTGATGGCTTTTAAGATGGTTTACTCCATGACCTTCCCTGGCACTGATGCGTCTGTGGCTTCCTGGATCCTCACAGAAGGGCCGGAAGGAAGATCCACGGAAAAACCATTGCAAGGCAGCCCCTAGTACTGCTGCAAGTTAGCTGAGGCTTTTGTCACCTGATGAACTGGAACTCTGCTCCAAAATCAACTCCTTTTCTCCCTGAGCTAGGCCCCCCTATTTGTACCCCTTCCTAGTCCCTGTCAACCTGCCTTTCTTTTGTGGGAGTGAGGGAGAAGAATGAGTTCACACTGTGTGTACAATATGCTAATGTGTGACAACCATGGCAAGAAAATAAAAGTGAGTTCACGGTTTCAAATAGGATCCATGAGAAGTTCTCTCTCCCACACACTCTTCTGTCCCCTCTGCCAAACCAAACCCTGCAGCACTGCTATGTTTGATTAGAATAGAGGCAACGTACGGATATTATGTAAGTGCATCCTGGGTATGTTACATGAAGGTAGACATCAATGGTATGCGGTCACAACAGAATCTGGTTTTCCTTTTAGCTATGTAAATCCTCAGTTGCACATTTGTCTGTTTTCTTGCTCCTTAACATATATATACCTAGGCAAAAAATACAGAGTTTTATCATCAAAGGTCTCTTTTCCCCTAACTCAACAGGCATTTGCACATAGAAGAGGAGGGTAATTCAGTGTTTCCTTCTGGAAAATCTCACAGCTCGATTAGCATGGTTTCCAGATTGCAGACTTGTACCTTTCTCATGTGTAACTTTTTGCTCATTAATCAATGATACAAATGGTAGTAATAGAGAGAGATATTGTTACTCCAGGGCTGCCTGTACCTGGCTGAGCCTCTCAAATTCAGTTGCTTATAACCTTCAGATGCAATTAGTATCATATTAATTATAATAATAAACCAACTCACATGAATATACTCAAAGTCTGCGTAGTTAAATCCACCAAAGGAAAAGGTGTAAATGTTCCAACAACAATATTAACTCAGATGCCTTGTACTTTTTATATGCTTCACAGTGCTCTTTTACAAGAGCAATATATCAGATAACCACAGCCTTTCTGCCTTCAGCCAGAAAAAGCTGGAATGCAACTGCTTAGCTGTGTAGGGATGTGATACCTATATATCTTGGTAAAAACATGTGTTTTCATATTAGTGGGAAAATCCTCGGGAGAGCTTTTGACTTGAGTAACTGTACATGTCTTTGGCCGTGTGCGTGGTCATTGCTCACTGCTGTGGCAGCAGCATTCTGTCCATGTTCAGTCTGTGAGGCAGAGATGCCTCAGCAGTGTGGAGGAGAGTGTATGACGGTTAGACAGAGGTTGAACATATGCGTTTGTATCTTCCCATGTGGGTAGGAAAATACAGTCCAAGATGCGCTAGATTGCTAGATGAGATTAGAATGCTGCTCATAATCATTATCACAAAACAGTCAGTTCAAGTGGGGTCTTTGAAGGTCCTCTAGTTCATACAGTGCACCTGAACCTGACACAGTGTAAAAAAATAACTGTGTCACGCTCAGCCAAAGAGTTTGCCTATAGAACTTGCGGATGCCCTGTTTTTGAAGGTGTTCAAAGTCAAGTTGGATGAGGCTTTGAGCAACCTGACCCCATGAAACATGTCCCTGCCATAGTAAGGGAGTTGGACTAGATGGTCTTTAAACGTCTCTTCCAATACAAACCGCACTGTGATTCTGTACTGAAAGGTCCTGGGAGGAGAAAGATAGAGTAGCTCCTTGGCATGACCTCAGGCTTACAGAGGATAAACATGTCAAGGGACTTAAGTTCCATGATGGACAGTAATGCTTCAGATCTGTCTCTGAATTTAATTATTGCTGTGACAGCCATTCTGTTACTCAGGTCATTACTGACTCAGAGTACGGAGCTAGGGACTAGCTGAACAGGGAGCTGTCTCCATAGGTGAGGAATGGATGAGAAAGAATACATGGTAGGATCAGATAACTGCATAGCTTCAGGTTGTACCTTTTGCTTACCCAGATCACTTCTGGGAAAAGCCACCCCACAATATACTATGGACCAACAGCTCCCTGAAAGGCCTTTTCTCTCAGCTCTTACCTTCGATCACTGATCATTCTGCTGCAGGTGGGCCTACCATAGGACTTGGCTTTAAATGGAAAGGAGAAAAAAAACCTAACAAATTAGGAAGTCATCTGTTTCTGCGTGGCTGTCTAAGCTTGCAAACAGATCCTATAGTTCACGGCAGGTTTAGTCCGCTTAATGTTTAACAGTCTGCAAAACTGAACAGATCTGGTTTTGATTTAGATGATAGCCAACAAACAGCATCTGAAATCTTGAGAATTTTTTTCAAATCTCAATCAATAATGCCTAAGCCATTCTTTGTTTGAAAGAACCAAGGAAAACAAAAACAGGCCCCAGCATCTGCCCGACAGCCTATGTGCCAAGTTCTACTGTAGGATGCTGAAATAGCCATGATGTTAAGTCCTGCCGCCTTCCTCTCAAATAACAAAAGGATGCAGTTGGGACTAGAACAAGGCAGGTTCTGGAACAGGTGGTTCCTGAGTCTTTAAACTTGTTCAGTGTTTTGATGAGAAAATTGCATATGAGGAAAATGTAGCATGTCAGAAGTTGGATGATTCCCACTAGAATGTTTGGAAACAGTTAGACATGCTTTGAAGTACAAAACAATGAGGTAAACATTAAGAAAAGCATTTTTTCATATAAGCTTTCAGTACTCAGAAAAGTAACACATGAGTAAACCTCCCTGAAGCCATTGGGCATAATACCAAAATATCCTGCCTGCTCAGAATGTGAAAGAGCATGTATTTGTGAAATCTGTTTTGACATACAGAAGTAAACAAATAGCCACTCAAGAGAGCTACAAACAGAAAGTGTGACAGGCTACTGTGCTGACCATGCTCTCTGCTTCTCCTCTGTTACTGGGTAAAAAATAATGTTTTATTTAACAGATAAGAATCTTATGTGAATATCTTGGGTTGATTCTGGTCCTTCCCTATGGCTCATTACAGAAGTAACTTTTGGTCTTGTTTTAGAGGCCGGAGAACTGGCTTTGGTGTGCATTCATAGCACAATGAGTAGATGTTTTGTGAGTCCATACAAACTCTGAACCCTCCAGAAGCAAATGCATCCATGAAACTTGTGTATAGCGTGATGACCTGCCTTTTGGGAAGAAGTCAAATGACTGTCCCTGTTATTAGAAGCATCGTGTTTGTCAGAGCAGCACTTGTGACTCATGGTTGGAGCTGCACAGTGAGCTTACTCAAAAGTATGCAGGAATCACTTGTGGTGACATGGAATACACTTCTGGAGGGTGACTTCCCACTGTGTGCACAGATACTTCGTGCCCCCACATGCCCTCCTGTGGATTTTGCTTGAAGTTGCAGGCCTTAGACATGGGGGGCACCGGTAACACTGATGACATTAGTTGCTGGTGTTGTCAGATCTTACCAGAGAGCCTTGACACTGAAATAGTGGTAGAAGAAGAACAGATTGCTTTTCTCTCTGTGGAGAGGTTCCTTCGCTTGTTTCTGTGGTATACAGGAAAAACTTGAGTTCTTGCAAATCAGTCTATAAAAAATGGAGCTAGATACTGTTTGTTCTAAGGACTCCTACTGGGCTTAAGTCTATAATGTCTACCCTCCTTGGCTCTTCATGGTGTTTCCATCTTGTATCTCAGAAATTATTATGACAAGTGAAGGAGAGTTATGTTCATTGTGCACTTTTTTCTCTACTATGTGCCTGCAGGTGATTTTAATAGGCAGCTGATGGGTCAAATGTTGCAGATGAACCAACTACTGGGAGATGTGAAAGACCTTCTCAGACAACAGGTACTCTATAAAGGCTCCGGCATGAAATATCACAAGCTGGACACTTTTGATACGAGTTAGGGCATAATTCACATAAGAATAAACTCCTGTGTAAAGTTCGTTGCCTCAGAGGGATGACATAGTGGAAGAGAAATAGCCATGTACGTCCTGGTACCACTATGGAAGATAACTGAATGTGGGAGTGTAGGGGACTTGCTTATTCAGATCCAGAAAATCTAGTGTCTTAAGTGCAGAGGAACTAGAGTAGCCATCCCAGCCTTTAGGTCTGTTGCACAGAACTAAAATTGGATTTGTTCCAGTTGCTAGTGAGTGTCAGAACTGGAATTGCTGTGGGTGCATGCCCTTAGTTAAGCATGTCATTCTTAAAGTGTCCTGTTGATGAACACAGAGCTGAAGTGCAACCATTAACACTGTCCTTAATTTTATGGAGTACTAAGAACATCAGATTTCAAGATAGGGTGGTTATGTTGCATAGTTTGAGTGGCATCTTGGGGAAAAATTATAATAGTTCTTTCAGCAGTGAGATGCAAACTGGAACTGCCTGTATCCGTATAATGTTTATTTTCTATATCCTTAAGGTCAAAGAAACAACTTTCCTGAGAAATACCATAGCTGAGTGCCAAGCATGTGGTAAGTATTCCTATTATTGCCTGTAAAAGGCAACCAGATGAGATGTACAGTCATTTTAAAACCAGTATTGATTGCATCAGCTCAATGTGCCTTCTAAGAAGTACTTTTTAAAAAATACCGTGTTTAAAGTTCTAGATGTACGGGACACAAACTTAGAATAGATTTTCATTAAAGAAAAGGCTTTCAGTTTCCCTAGACCTGGAAATCACCTACTGGGGGATAAAACCCCACTAAACCAAGCAGTACCATTTACCTTGTAGTGTCAGTTCTCGCTCTGCCACAAAGCTATGACACATGTTCCTGGGGAGGGATTCATCACCTGCCAGATATCTCATGAGCTATCTTAGTAGAAGGACAAAGGGGGAAACATGTTCTGCTGTAGCTGGTATTGTCAGTCTGAGGAAGATTCTATGCAATCTGTCTGAAAGTCATCTGATTCTAAGTAGGTAGTCACTGGTTAACGGCAGTAAGACTCAAAAGGTGATTTCCATCTTTTCACTAAATGGAAGAAGTAAGTGCTTTCCCAATATGCCAGTGCATGGCCCTCCTACACAACTGGCAATCAGAATACATATGCATTCTGTAAAAAACTAAATACTCCCTCGCTTGATAGGGTGAGAGGCCTTAAATTCATCACACTCTTTAGCTGATTTCCTCTTCCAGTCTGTCAGCCTCAAGGTGAGCTCCTGCCAGGTTAACCTTTATGTGCAATGCCGAAGAAAAAGTGTCTAAGTCCTGCATGCATCAGTACCAATATTCAGCACCTGCTCAGAGAACCCTAATTTTTCCCCGGGCTGGTCTCTGTGTGGGCACCTCAGCCAGTGTACTTGTATGTCCTGCTGTGTGCCCATGGTCTGCCAGCTGCTGTTCTCTATTGCTCTTATTTGTAGACTGTCAGATGTGCTCTTGTGAAACCGCGGCACTGTTTTCCTTATGAAGTGGTAGCGTTGCCTGTTTAGCCGGAAAAATGCGGTTTACCATCACACTTGAATGCCTTGGGCCATCCTAGGTCACTGGCTTTCAGAATTTCTTCCCCTGGCCAGCAGCAGATCTGCGCTGGGACTAACCTAGCAGGAGGACTCCTGTGTATAGCCAGGAGAAGCACGTGGGCCTGACAAAATAGGCTTAATTTGCCCTGTCTGGGGACGAAGCAAGCTGCTGAGCCACTCCCAGCATGAAGTCTCCTCAGTCACAGCACAGCTGGTAGCAGCACAGTGCAGAAACACGAAGCCCCTGCTGTGCAGCATCTTGTGGATCTATTAGGAGTGCTTGCCAGCTGAACGCCATGATAGATGTTTCTTTCAACCATGAAACTGTTGTTCTTTCTGCATTAAAGGTTTGGGAACTGTGAATTTTCCAACTCAGCTTCCCAGGCGCAGTAAACCCAAATGTGAAGTTAATTCCTGCTTCAGGGGAGTCAGGTGCGTGGATACAGCAGAGGGATTTCAGTGCGGCCCCTGCCCTGAAGGGCTCACGGGAAATGGAGTTAGCTGCTCAGATATCGATGAGGTAAAATCGTGACTTTCACTGATATTTTTTTTAAAAAAAAAAAGTAAAAAAAGCTGAAAAGCAGGTGTTTCATACATATCAATGAGTTGCTGATGCTTGCTGTCTTCGGTGTTCGCTGACTGTTTGAACATTGGATATTAATTCACTCTGATTTGATTCCACCTCCCTATTTTGCTGTTACTGCAACTTTATGGAAGTTATGTGTGAAACCCGCAAATACCCTGGTGAGTTGAGGACTTTAATGTTTAATGTTTAAAGAAGAACAGAAATAACCAAAATAAGCTTTTAATGTAGTTGTTTCTATTCCCCAAGAAGATGCGGTAGCTTCTGTTATAGGCTGCAGATGCACTTTTTGTCAATATGGGCTTTGTTTCTTTAAATTGTAGTTCTTCTGAACCAGCCTTGGAGACCAAAGTCTTCTCTTCAACCCAAGCTGGAGCCATGTTTTCAGCCTTACCTTAAAAGTCTATGAAAGAAAATAAACGTTTACTGTTATTGTTCCTTTCGCTGCTTTATGGTTGTGCTGAAAGCTGATAATGTTGACTTAAATCTATTTTTTTTCTTGTGCTATATGTTAGAAATTCAGAACTTGCTTGTACTGAGGATTGAGTTAATAAATTTACAATATCTTAAACAATTAAATAAAACCTGTGTTAATTGGAATGTGACACTCGGAACACAAACAACAAAACCACTTGCAGCTTCACTACATTTTTTTCTCTCTGATGACTTTTGCCATTCCTGTTTAGTGATTTTTGCAGGAAAGCACCTGGATACAGTGAACCAGGGAATCCGGAGAGTTAGGTCATTAAGTGTGCTTATGGATCACCCAGTACTACAAATATACCTGCCTAACAATGTAAAAAAGCAAGAGCAATTCCTTTTTTCTTCCTAGCCAAAAAGAAATGTGGTTTGACTGCTCTTCTGGTTTACTCCCTTCTGTAGGCCCTCAGCAGAGAGGATGTGATGTGTCCAACCCATGTCTGTCTGTGAAAAGAACTGGGGAGAGAAAATGGGTTAAAAGTGGCAGATCCCTGAGTTGTAGGCTCTGTCTTTTGTTTTGCCTCATATGGCATGGACTTTGTCTGCTGCAACAGATGGTGCAAAAAATGGAGGTGCAGCTTTGAAATGTGAATGCAAGGAGGTGAAGCTGAGACAGCTGTGGTGCGAGTTTCATGTCAGAAAGCCATGGTGACAGGTTGAAGCCAGCCTAGGTGTAGTCCTCTGACGTGGATGAGTTATACCTCCTGAGCCATACCCAGACTGAGGCAGAGCATGGCAATAGTCTCCTCCCTACCATTTTTCAGGGCTGGAGCAACTCTGTAGTGGCCTGACATTAACATGATTTTCTGTGAGCAGTCAGGCTCTGGCTCTGGAGATTGGCATGCTTTCATGTTCCTGCCATGGCTCTGAATAACAGACCTGATCTTGCATTAGAAACAGCAAGGGAATTTTGCCAAAACAGTGTTGTAGAGATACTGTCTTGTTTATATGAGATATTTATGTGGACACTGCTTCCAAAATGCTTCCCAAGTCTGGATGGGTTTTGTTCACCAGTAAATATTTCGGTTAACAGCTGGATTCTCACTAATGGTTGCACAGAACAGGGGAAAAAGATAATAAATGGCAACAGGTTTTCATTGTCTAGCAGGAGGGAATATGTCACATTATTTATTTTCCTGAGTTAGCTGAGACTAAGAGGGAAAGTAATTTATGATGGGGTTTTGTTTAAAGCTTTTTAGGAATCTTTTGGGAGAGCACTATTCTATGAATAAACTATGTACTTCCTAATAACTGGCATTTGAAAAGAAGTTCGTGTACAAAATCTGATAAAGGCAAATCTAAAAGCTTCCTTTCAAAGAACTGGCATAATCTTTTCTGAGGCTGCTAGCATCTCTGAAATATGCTGCCTTATTCATTACCACTTTGAAGAGTTTTACATGCTGATGCCCGGTAGATGGGCAGCTGCAGCTCTGCTCTGTGGTGGGATTTGAGTGCCCTCTACTGCCTACAATAAAAAATGCACAGCAAATAAGGAGCACAAAATGTTTGTTCTCGGTTTTACATTTTCCTTGTGTTAGTTGTGGACTTCTAACAAATTTTTCCATCAAACAAGCTTTGATATTAAACATAACTTTTCTTGCTCCCTTGTGTGTGTGTTTGGTTTTACGTTATGTGTTTGTTGTAGGTGGATATCTTCTGGTTTGTTCTCCCTCAAAGTTGTTTTTCTGTTAGAAATGGAGGGAGAGGGAAAGGCAGATTTTTAAAACTCTTATATTTCTTTCTAATATTTATTATTTATTGTTGTCTTTAAGCTATATGCAGCATGATATAGCATGTTGATGTTTTTGGTACTCTTACAAATATTACCTAGGGGCTAGTGTTGATGTTGGAGAGCCAGCAATGTGGGATATTCTTTCTAGGCTGGCACCCACAAGGCCAGTGAAATGGGTTATGGCTGCTCTGCAAAACCAGATGAGGCAATGAAACAAACGGTGCCTTCAGGCCAAGGGTCATCACGCTGTGGGCATGTGGTATTATGGGAGAAGTGCCGAAGATTTTCTGTGGGCCTCCAGTCCAGAAATGAGCGTGTGCCACTGACAACACCTCTCCTCCTCTGGCTGGTGTTTGGGTAACTTCTGGCTATGAGACTTGCCCAGATATAAATGAGAGAAAATGCTGCTGCCACTTCTGCATGTACACATGCCACTGCAGGACTATTCAGTGGGCTGGAGTTATATGGCTTTCCTGATACTGTGGTATGGCTCCTTCCAGGGGGCTCTCAGCCTCTGAGGGAGCTGAACCTGTCCGGCAAAAGGAAAGACTGGGGAACAGAGCTTAGGGCATTGGCTACACCTACTGGGGTCAGAAATACCTGCAGAGACTTTTTCCTTTGTAAGCCAGCTCTGAACAGAAGACATGCAGACATTGCATGTAGCATTGCCTTTGACTGAGAGGTCTGCGCATGGAGTCATGGTCTGGATGTTACTGAAGCACGAAGGTGTGCTCGGTTAATTTTTTTTTTTTGCAGTGTCGTTACAACCCTTGCTTCCCTGGAGTGCGATGTGTGAACACTGCTCCGGGTTTCCGATGTGAGACTTGTCCCCCAGGATATACAGGACAAACTGTGCAAGGGATAGGAATCAGCTACGCCAAGACCAATAAGCAGGTGAGTGACAGCATCTCTGCAGCAACTGCCATTGCAAGGTACTGGTTTATATCAGTGCGTCTCTTTTGCATTTTGTTTATACTTCGGTTGTTCAGTAATTGCCTTGTGCAGTCAGACAGAGCTCAGAGTGTTTCAGTTAGAAGACCCAAGAATGTGTTTGCTTGGCTTTAATAGGATTATTAACAGTCTAATACTCAAGGTCAATATGGAGACAAGAAAAAGTATCGTTATCTTCATAGATATCTCAGATCAATTTTAGAGAGGGCTATGTTGTTTTCTGTAAGCTGGCACTGAACTTGGAAGAGTATGATAGAACAGGACTATTTTGCTCTCATTTTCCAGGTTCATGTAGTGCCCTACATGTGGAGCATAGTTCTTATCTAAACTCTTGTGGGCAAACTAGAAGCCCGTCTTAAGGTTGAAATTTGCTGTATCACAGTGTCACTTCAGGGTTTATATGTGTCTGGACATCCACTGGAAAATTAGTCTATATATATATCTGTGTTATTTTGAGAGTGGTTTCAGGGGAGGCTATTTTCTAGACTTAAACTTCTGTGGCTTTTCTTCAGACTTGATTCTCAAATTTATATTGTTCATATTACATGTTGGCTGGTTTTATTGCTAGATCTGCTTAGATATTGATGAATGTCAGAATGGTGGACTTGGACTCTGTGTTCCAAATTCCCACTGCATAAACACTTTGGTAAGTACCTTTTCATTTGTGGCTTTAAAAAATTGATTGCTTTAAAATTCCATGAGGCTAGGATTGGATTTATGACTCTGACTGAAGAGCTGAATAATACAGTTTGTTCATTGGCTTCATCTAAACCGAAGAATCCTTTTCTCTTTTCCTGACTAATAATAATAAAAAAAATTCAATACTTGATTTGTCATTAACATGTCCATCTGAGCTGTATCCTTATCATTTTCCCTGAAGAACAGCAGTAGCTCTTCTCTCCACGCCATCCAGTTCTGTGTGTTTATTTTATTGGAAGGAATCCCTTTGAAAGATTAAATCTTTGCTTCCCCTCATCTCTTCCCACCTGAGAACTGCTGCAGCAAGCTGTTCCCCTGGGTGCACGCTTTATAGGAGTAAGTCTTCACCTTGTTAGGGTATTTATACGGTACCAGACATCCCTCTAAATAAGTACAGAGAGGAGGAGAGGTGCATTTGGCAATGCTTTTAATACCCATAGATATTAAGTCTTGGTGTCATCTGCAAACTTGCTGAGGATGCGCTCAATCCGCTCGTAAAGAGAGCTGGTCCCAAAACTGAGCCCTGGGGAACACCACTTGTGACCGGCTGCCAACTGGATTTAACTCCATTCAACACCACTCTTAGGACTTGGGCATCCAGATGGTTTTTCACCCAGCAAAGAGTACGTCTGTCCAAGCCATGAACAGCAAGTTTCTCCAGGAGAGTGCTGTGGAAAGAGGTGTCGAAGGCTGTGTCACTTATGCCACTGTCAAATATTGTTCTGCTGTAGCAGGCTGCACAGAGCAGGTTTTGTCCATCACAAGAGGAGGACTAAAAGTATCCTGCAGGTGTAAATGTGGTCTTTTTTGCAGTGACGTATCACTGAGACTACTGGTAGCGTTCTAAGTGGTGAGCTTTGCTTGTGAATAACCTTGTTTTACTAGGGCTGCTTTCACTGTTCAGTATGTTCTCTTTGATAGATTGGTTTCTAATGCCTAGAACAGAACATTTCTGTCACATGTTATACCTTACTGTATGGCTGGACATGACTAGTCCTCTTCGGGAGGCCATCAGGCCCTGTTTGCAGAGGGCAACAAGTGGCCTGCTATCTGGTGGTGTGGTTTTTTACTTCTGTCCACCTTTAGAAAATGTTTGGCCTGGAAGTGCTGCCTTAAAGGCTATTTTAATGCATGCCAGGTCTTGATATAGGACAGAATATACTGAGAACATTCGGCAGACTCCAGAAGATACTATTTTCATGGCCCAATGACCATTTTACGCTTCAGTCATGGGTATATCTTTGTCTTCAGCCTGAAAGTATGCAGTCAGCACAGAGTTAAAATTTGAAATGAAGCTTGGAACAGGGGACAAAAATAATGCCTAGCTAGGTAGTAAATGTATTTCTCTATTGTGATGGACTGGGACAGTCCTGACAGTTCCTTCATCAGGCTTTGTATAGGAGGAGTAAAGTTGTGTGAAGCACCGTAGTTTCACAAAGAGATGGATGCGCAAGTTACTCAGAGATCTGCCTGTTTCTGTTCCTTGACATGTCAAAAATAATTATTCTCTATAAGGAAGAAAATGTTGTTGTCCATTAACATTTATGTCATAGGTTACAAATCTGAAAGAATGTGAGATAGAGACAAAAGCCACATTAGATGCCTGAAGAGGACCCCTTCTTATCAGCATTTATATCTGACACAGTGATTGCCCCAGTACACACTGAGATTCCTTGATTTACCTCCTTGTTTGTTTACACAAGGGAGTGACACAAATATAAAATATACATGTGTGCACCCAAGCAAACCACTGCAAAAAGTTAAATGGATGTTCTTATTGCAGTGTAAACGGGGATGACTGTGTCTTCAGCTGCTGAATTTTTTCTGAAGAGCAAGACTTAGCTCAAAATGGCTTAAAAACATTTAAATTTTTTTTAAAAAGGGGAGGGCAAAGATAGGATGAACTTTCCTGTCTCTTTTTGATTAAAAGTTGTGGCCAGTTGAATTTAAATTAATTGGTCGGTCTGCTTTACACTGAAATAAGAGCATCCAATCTGATTAAGCAGGTGCTGCTTAGAATTTTGAACGTTTTGGCCTCCTGAAAGCAGCTCAGAGTAATGTTGGCAGGGTCAAGGCATCGTGAAGAAACTTTTGCTGCTACCTGGCTTTTCTTTGGCTTAAGAAAAGACTGGTCTAAACAAATGAGAGTTGAGCATGCAGGGTGGAAACCCAACCTGAGTTTCACATAGAAAATAAAGTTTGTTCACAGTGCAAGAGGCCTCAATGGATGGATGACTACAGTGCAAAGCATAAGCAGTGTGACATTAATCTTACTCACATGTTTGCTTTAAAAGAAAAAGAAATCCTGTTAAAAGACTGGCTAGTAACTTTTTATTCTTGCAGGGGTCTTTCCAGTGTGGCCAGTGCAAACCGGGATATACAGGAGACCAAGCCAGGGGGTGCCAGGCTGAGAGGAGCTGCAGAACTCGAGCCCTCAATCCATGCAGCGTGCATGCCCATTGTATTGAGGAGAGGAGGGGAGAGGTGACATGTGTTGTGAGTTCATAAATTCATGTATTTATACAGTGAAAACTTAGGCTTTTTTTTGAGCTGGAACTAAGAAAGTGTTTGTGGTCATTTTATACAGTCGGGTGTTCTAACCACGTTGTGGCATGCTGGACAAGCTACAAAAATAATCTATCTGAATCTGTCTTTGCAGCTCAACTGTTTTCTTTTTGCAGCATGTCTGTAAGGCAGTCATACTCGTGTAACATATTTACTGTGTCTGTGTTATGAGAACTTTTGGGAATGGCTTTTATAGAATTTCTGTAGTCTACTCAACAAGGACTATCAAGTGTCATTCTACAGAAGACATCACAAGGACAAATCCCTCTCCTTGTACTCAGCTACATAGCTGTGAGTAGGGATCCTCTCTGCATACTCAACATGCCTGTATTTTCCTGGTGACAGTGCTATTATTTTTCCAAGTGAGACCACAGTTTCTAGGAACAGGTAGGCTGTACTGTGCTTTCCAACCTTGGGAGCAGAGGAGCACCAAGTGACACATGAACTTTCATTTTAAGAGTCCAACTGAAGTGTATTAGTTTTTCCAGCTTGCAAGGGGAAGCAAGAGACTAATCCTGTGTCCTAAATTTAGATACAGTGCGTGCTTTTGCTGACACTTGCCTTGGTCTCATTTTTAAGTATGTCTATTTCAAAGAATAATAATCTAGAATATTTTAAGTCCATGCTGTAATAGGGAGAATGCCTAACTTGTGTTATTCAAGTCCTTATTTTAAGGAGGGACCAGAAGTTGACATGCAGTGATATCTGTGTATCTTCAGTTACAAATTAGGCATTGGTTTGAAACCATACCTAGTTTAATTGGTTGGGAGAAACTTGTATGCAGATGCACTTGCTTTGCTGATGGAAACTTAGTAACTGTCAGCACAATTTTCTTTTAAGACTTCTTCTACTTATAGATATATTCTTGAGATACTGAACAAAACACAGTTAGCCCATCTAACCACAGGTCTCTTGATGAGACGCTAGGTGCGTATTCTGCCTAGGGCCCCTCTTTTTTTCCACCTGCAGGTAAGAAACCAAAATTAATTGTTGGCAAGAGTCTAAAGTAAATCTATGTCTCCCACTGAAATTATTAGGTGTTGCAGGCACATGTTCCATTTAACATCAAGTCTTAACTCTTTCTTGCTGTGCTTAGATGTAGAGAGCTTGAAACAAAGATTTTCTTTTCACACTGAGAGATGTTGAAGTGTATCTTATTGTACTTCAGCATCTGCCCCTGCCTTCTCTGTATGTTAGTGTTTTTAAGGCCGTTGTGAGGTTTCCCTCTTGAATATTGCTACAGTGACTTACTAACTTTTTGTAAGTACTAGCATGTTGTTTTATTGATAGTGTGGCATTGGCTGGGCTGGTGATGGTTATATTTGCGGAAAAGATGTTGATATTGATGGCTACCCCAATGAAGAACTCTCATGCTCTGCTGAAAACTGCAGAAAGGTAATTTTTTTTTTCTTAATCGTATAATAATTAAGAACATGGAGATGTGAAGAGAAAGAGTGGAAGAAACACGACTCAACTTTTTGAAAGTTATTTATTTCCTCTGGATAAATTTTATTTAATTTGATTAATTGGTTAGTTAAAATGATGATAGAAAAAGTAATCCAAGTGATGAAGATACCCAGTTTACCCATAGAACACCATACATGTCTCATTTTTTGTCTAGGACAATTGCAGATTTGTCCCAAACTCAGGACAAGAAGATGCTGATGGCGACGGGATTGGAGACGCCTGTGATGATGATGCAGATGGAGATGGCATTCCCAACGAGCAGGTGCTGTGCATACGTCAGGGTGCAGGGCTCTGTGCGAACAGAAGACTTTCATGTTACTTGAATAGGCAATGATTTTGAAATCTGGCTCACTGCTATTTGCCAGAGATTATCCTATAACCATCACTCACCAGCTCTCTAAATCCTGTCTTTTTCTTTTATATAACCTAGCATGTCTTAATTAGGCTTAAATCCCGTATGCTCTATTACTCCATTTTATCCTTGAGTTCTAGATCGTTTAGTATATAGACCTTGTATCCTTGTGTCACACTCTCCCATAGCAGAGCGTTCAGGAACATTACATGCCATTAGTGTCTTTCTTTTTAAAGAGCAGGTTGACCCAACATCACTTTCTACGAGGGATCCAAAACGCACATGAATTAATGGGTGTCTTGCCAGTAACTTGAAAAAGCTTTGAATCATATTCTTGGAGCAAAAGAGGTTTACATCTGAGTATGCTACTGCAGAATATGTCAGAGAATAAATTCAGACTGTAAAAGCTCTTTTGTTTTCACTCTGTATGCTTGTCATTCTGTGCTGAGGCCCTTCTGTGGTGTGTGGTAGTGCTTAATGTGCTTTCAAGGAAGACAAGAACACTCTATCCAGAGTACAAACGTCCATGTGGAGCTAAGGTAGACTAACAGTCACGGAAGGGTTATCTCAGGCTTTTTTTGCCAGAGAGGTCAACCCTAAATTCTGGTAACTTGCAGCAACTGGTTTTATTAATGTTCTATAGCAAAACATGTTAAATCCTCTTTCAGATGTAAATCTTTATGCAGGTTCAGCACCTTTGCAGTCAAGTGACTTCTATATTGTTGTTAAGCTCTGTTCTGCCTTGGTGTGCACTAAAGGATATCATGGGTGTGCTAGATGGGAGAGGAAAGTTTACACCACTTTGAAGTAAAGTTTTCTCCATATGCCTCCTGTGGTCTTAGTCAGTCGCAGCCTGGCTGAAAGGAAAAGAAATAATAAAAAACCTCCAACTTGTACATTTTTGCATCAAGAAGTCCCATTTTTCCAAGTGTTTCAGCTTTGGTTTAAACCTCCACCAGAAGGGAGCAATGGCCTTTCACCGAGAGCATCTACAAACCCTCTGTGTCTCTCTCCAGCATTGGAGAAGGACCAAAACAAGTTAGTCACTATGGGTGCATCCAAAATGATCCAGAGCTAACATTCACATAAAATGTCAAACTGCTCACTGTCAGAATTTTTCATGAAAGCATCAATAAATACAAGAGTTACATAAATCCACTAAAGTTGGAATTAAAGAGCCAGGGCCCAGCTCATATCTGGTTTGGATCTGTGTCTCTTGCAGGATAACTGTGTCTTGGCTCCCAATGTTAACCAGAGAAATGGTGACCAGGATATCTTTGGAGATGCTTGTGACAACTGCCGCAATGTCCTGAATAATGACCAAAGGGACACAGATGGTGATGGGAAAGGAGATGCTTGTGATGATGACATGGATGGAGATGGTTGGTAATTCTTCACTTCCAGCTTCTCTGATGTTCTTGAAACTGGCCCAGAACATGCTGTGTGTTGGGAGATTTCCTGTCACCAGCTGCTAAGTGTTGTGTAACATATGGTCTTTCTTCATGAAACCTTTTCATTTAGATTTATATATCTTTTAGCCTTCATTGGAAGCCCTCAGTACAGTAACAGATAAACCAAGCCATGTTTCATGTATAAGGTGAGGTTGTTGATCATTTGTTATTCCTTAAAGGTGCAAGCATGCCCAAGAGCACCCAGCTGCTGCCTCTTCCAGTTGCCCAAGAGCTACATAATGCATGATTTTCATTGCTGTTGGAGTCTTGAACCCTTCAAATGAAACAGCAAAGATGAAATGTCCCATTCCATAAGCTAGGATACAGGAACAGAATAGAATGAACTGTGTGTAGTTGGTGAAGTGTGTGTGATGGGGTTGAAAGCTGTTCTTTAACAAGATGTTTCTAACTTCTATTAAATTAATGTATTCACACATATGAAAGATTTGCTGTGCAGACTTCTAATGTCATTGCAAGATTAATTAGTTGCTGAAAAGGAATAGTGTCTTTACTGTTCTTGATGTTAATGTTATCTGATAACTAACCCAGGAATTGTCTCTAATGAACATCAAATCCACTTTTCACTAGGTATTAAGAACCTCTTGGACAATTGTCAGAGGATCCCGAACCCAGACCAGGAGGACGAGGATAACGATGGTGTTGGTGATGCCTGTGACAGCTGCCCTACAATCAGCAATCCAAACCAGGTTAGCAGGCAGAAGGAAAAACTATCTTGATTTAGAGAGAGGGACTGATAAGGTCCAAAAAGATACAAGAGAACAAAGCAGCCCATGCACCCACAGTGTTTATCTTTTAACAGTAGATATTCAGAAATTTGTATGGAGCTTCAAGTGCTCCTGACATGGGAAAGAGGATCCATCAGGTGTATTCTTATAGCTTGGGATGTTGGTAGTATCTCTGCCCTGCTCGTGTCTTCTACTGTCATGCTCTGAAACGTGAGCATGCTCTAGTCCCACAGAGTCCAATGCCAGACTCCAAGCAGTGGTGTGATTTATTTACACTTGATATTTCTTTAATTAGGACAAAATCCTAGTGTCCTTATTTAGCAACGCTTTTACTGCTTCTAGGTGAGAAGTCAGTGAGACTTTCGTATGTTTTGAATTCTGATTAAGCCCTTTGTGACTAAAAGAAATGCTGGAAATTTAAGAGAAACGTGGTAGATTTTTACAGCTACTTAAGAAATCAAGCTTGGTTAGAAATGAGGGATACTCATTTCCAGTAGTAGGGGAATCTTGCTTGAACTGCTCCAGTCAAGTTTAACCCTGTTTATTCATTGTCTGTTGTGGGTTTTATCCTTAATAAAACTAACCTTTTGGTTAGACGCATGATGCAAACAAGAAAATATGTTTTGTAAAACAAAGGTTTTTCCACACTTTTATTTTACTTGTATTTAATTTGGTTGTGTTTGGTTTAATAATGACATTTTAATAGATGTTCTCAGCAGCTGATCCTGGACCTTTCTCTGTTTCCTTTTGCAGTCAGATGTTGACAATGACCTGGTTGGAGATTCCTGTGATACCAATCAGGACAGGTATGTTGTGTTGTGGCTTATAACAGCAGTAGGGAAGTGGAAGAGGCTAGTCTTGATCTGAAGTATGCTGCTGATTCCTGGAGAGCTGTATTCAGTCAGACTAGCCTGGATTTAATTCCAACACCTTCTGAAAGAGATGTTATTTCAAAAACGATATTAAGATTTATCAGCCCTGTTGGTTCACTTCTCTGTAGTACAGTTTACAGAGCCCTTCACTTTAAGCACTATATTCTCACAGTCTTCCTGTGAGTTCCTGTGGAAATGACATTGAGAGCAGTTCTCTGGCTGCAAAACTCGGAGCACTGTTCAGAGCTTCTTAGTGAGGTAATGTCCTTTTCCTTTTCTTTATCCTTAATCCCTCTTTTCTTATTTTCTTTAGCAGAAATTTTGTAATTGAGTTGTATGTTTTTCCATAAGAACCTAGTATTTCAGAAACAGGTGTTTCTTATTAAGTGTAAAATGTTCGCAGATAAACCCCTTTGCTTTAGTACAGCAAGACTGGCAGCGCTCTTCTCTGGCTTTTACATGCCCTGAGGATTCAGGGGAGCACATCTCATGACAAACCGCTAATGCCTGGCTGGAACCAGCTTCTGCATAACCAACTGCAGGGAGGTGGCAAGTCCTCCTCTGTGGTCCCCACTTAAAGCAAGTAGAAAGGGAAGTGATAAATCCTGTGCTGGCACAGCATGTCGTCATCTCCAGAGGGCTGCAAGGTCTCGCCCTGGAGCCACTGGTGGGTGCTGCTGTTTGGGACAATAAGCACTGAGAACCTACTTCCCCTCCTCTGCCAGAAGTATTCCCAGTCTTGGGCTGGTAGCTGCCCAGGCCCCTAGCTGTGAGCTGGTTTACTCTTGAGTATCATAGAATCATAGAATGGCCTAGGCTGGAAGGGAGCTCAGAGATCATTTCATCCAACCTCTCTGTCATGGGCAGGGGTGCCTCTCAACTAAGTAAATATGGCCTTGGCTTTTTTCTTGTTTTTTTTTTAAAAAAAGGACATGCTTTCTTTTTTTTTCTCAAACCTAAATAACATGTATAAAGTATTTCCTCATAGAGATGCTGTAACTCTGCCTGAGGTTAAGCTTGGAATAGGTGTATATGCGTGGTCCTCTTGGCATTTCATCTCAAGAATGTGCAAACATTAGTTTCTCTGACCTAAAATAAAAGCACCTTTCTTAAAAGGGAGACGTAGGTGGGAATATGCATAGCTATAAGCTACAATACCACCTTAATTTGGCTGCATGCCACTTCTACTCTGCCTGTGCTTGGCAAAAAGCTGCTGAGGCAAAACAAGCCTGTTTATTGCCAGGAATTGTTTCATTTACAGTGTGTGTACAGAACACACTTGACTTCAGGCCATTTTTTTGCACAGATGCACTTAAATGCTTGCAGGGAAAAACCATGGAGCCACCTCATAACTTCCCAAACTCTTTTCTGTAGTCTTTGTCCCCACTCCTAGTGACTCTTCACCGTAACTAGCTGATGCAGCCATGGGCTGTGGAGGGGTCCTTGGGAGCTACAAACCTTTTCCTCCATTTCTTACTGTGCAGCTTCCCCATGGAACTGTTATATAACAAAACTTGCTATGCAGAATGGTGAAAGTGGTGCTTGTTTTTAAATAAGTCTGATTTCAGCTGCTCACGCAGGCCATAAATTTTCATTCACACTCACACCTGCATGTTCATGAGCACCAGGACACTAGTGGACATCATGTGTATGTGACAAGGGACACCAGCTGTTGAGCTCTTGCTGTCTCCTGGGTGCATTTTGATTGGTGATTCTGTGCTTGTGGATGTGCCTTACATGTGCCCTTAGGAGTGGATGTTGTTTGGGATCTTGGACTCTGATATCTTTTCCCTCTCTGTGTAAGGCTTCTTTTTCTTTCCCTTATCTGAGTACTTTCATAGCTCCAGCCTTAGCCTTTATCTTCCTGCCACCTTATCATAGATTATTTACTTGTTTCTTGTTTCCTTGCTGTTCAGCCACCTGAGCAACACCCGGGTGTGGTGCCCCACTGGTCTGTTTCCAGCTCCAGGGGTGCCTCTAGCACATTTCCCGCTCAGGTACCCATGCTGTTCCCCACGCAGGGGCAGGAGCTGATCCTAGTGTGCCATTTCTTTTTGTCTCTCTGCTTGTAGCGATGGCGATGGGCACCAGGACAGCACAGACAATTGCCCTACCATCATTAACAGCTCCCAGCTGGACACAGATAAGGATGGCTTGGGCGATGAGTGTGATGAGGATGATGTTGACCTCTTGCCCCCAGGCCCTGACAACTGCAGGCTGGTCCCTAATCCAGGGCAGGAAGATGACAATGGTAAGATGGGCCTTTTGCAGCCCTTTTGGAGCTTAGACCCTACATCCTTCCCCAGGCATTACATCTGTGCACCAGAACCTAACACAGTCACCATATGCCCCTGTACTCACCCCAGGAGGGACCCCAACACACAGGGGCCCTTTAGCCAAGGCAGAGTCCTCAAGTCCTCTCCCTGGGCAATGCAGCCATCAGTGCTGAGACTCCACCTGCTTTTCAGACACCTTGATGCAGTGGCTCTCCCAGATGTGTCTACTTGCTGCACCATAAATCTGCTTTCACTCCTCCAATGCATTCAGGTGATGGAGTCGGTGATATCTGCGAGTCTGATTTTGACCAGGATACAGTGATTGATCGGATCGATGTGTGCCCTGAGAATGCAGAGATCACCCTGACAGACTTCAGGGCCTATCAGACAGTGGTGCTGGACCCAGAGGGAGATGCGCAGATTGATCCCAACTGGGTGGTTCTGAACCAGGTAAAATCTGGTCTTTCTTACCTGTCTGAGAAAGATCATTTGAAAACCACAGCTAAACTGTCTTTGTAATTGCTGGACCTCTGTCAAACAAGTGAAGAGTGGAAGCTGTTGGTTGGCTGACTGCTTTACATGAGTTATAAAGAAGGAGCTTTCTTTTAGCACTGGTAGCTTGAAGCTTTATGCTTCCAATAATCTTGGATAACGACAGGCTGGTCAGCTTGTTCTGGGTGGATTTCACTGCTGCTAAGAGTAAACATGAAAATTTTGTGCCACCCTATTGAATTTTTTCCGTAGCAAATTATTTTGTGAATCCTTCACAGAATTTGAAACTCTTACCTGCTGTATAGCAGAGTATTTTGTCCTAAATGAGGTCCAATAACTGTTACTGACACTAACAAATTTAAGCCTTCAGGAGACTAATGTGTTCAGAGTCACAAGGCACGTGCAATTTATTCCAATTGCCAAAGTCTCTGCCAAACCAGCTGAGGTGTGTACACCTTCCTTAACCCAGTCCTGGCAGTCAGCTTAATCCCAGACTCCATGATCAAACTGTACAAGCTAAGCCTCGGCAGAGCTCTCTTCCACCCTACCAGCCCTCTTCTGTGCCCCTCTCTCCTCCTTCCCCCAATCTCATCTCTGATTCTGACCAGGTTCAGTGATCTCCCGAAGAACATTGGGGTAGGGGGAAGAAAGTATTGGTATGGCCAGTTTTGCAATGAGGAAGCAAAAATCCTTCTTGATTCAGGGGACACAAGCAGTATACAGTTCTCATTTTAATTCAGAGCTACAAGTTACGGACATAGTGTGAGCAAAGGGAGGAGATGGGGGAAGGGCTGCTAGAGGGACATCAGAAGAGGCTGTGAGGCTTAGCCAACCCAGCTTGTCATGCACACTAACTATTCTGAATTTACTCTTACAGGGCATGGAAATTGTGCAGACTATGAACAGTGATCCTGGCCTTGCCGTTGGTATGTACCCTCTTCTGAGATTCAGGTTTTACAGGAGAAAACTTTTAGCCTGTGAACATGTTTTCTGCAGAATTGTTTTTAACCTGTGTGTATCCTCAGGTTATACAGCTTTTAATGGCGTTGACTTTGAGGGTACTTTTCACGTGAACACGGTGACGGATGACGACTACGCTGGCTTTATTTTTGGTTATCAAGACAGCTCTAGCTTTTATGTGGTAATGTGGAAGCAGACGGAACAGACGTACTGGCAAGCAACTCCCTTCAGAGCTGTTGCGGAGCCCGGCATTCAGCTAAAGGTACCAGTCATGGCTCCTAGCAGGGGACACAGTGGCCACCACAGCCAGGCTATGCCACCCTGCCACGTGTTGGCCATGCCGCCCCACTATCTGACTGCCACAGGCTAAGCCATCATGCCATGCATTGGCCAAGCCACCACAGTGCATGTTGGCCGTGCTGCCTGACTGCTGTTCTCTCCCTTCATCAGGTCTCAAAACTACTCTAAGTCTGGCGGCTGCCACACAGCCCTTTTAACAGCACCATTTTTTAAAGGAACTTCATCTCCAGTCTTGCCCCTGCTTATCAGCTGGAGCATTCAGTCACTGCTCTCATTGTGCTCTGACTGTAATTGGTCAAATTGTCTCCTTCTCCTGGCTCCAGGCACTCGGTTGCTTTTCCATGCAAGCAGTGGCTTCGGTTATGCAAGGAAACTTAGGCTTGTGAGCCAGAGGGAGGGTGCTCCTACAGACCTTCTTCCCTCTACAAAAAGGCTTGGAGCTCCTGAAGTGGCATTTCTCTGCAGTCAGCATTGGAAAATTCTATTCCTGCAGGCTGTGAAATCCAAGACAGGCCCTGGTGAGCACCTCCGCAACTCCCTCTGGCACACAGGGGACACCATTGACCAGGTCAGGCTGCTGTGGAAGGACCCCCGAAATGTAGGGTGGAAAGACAAAGTCTCCTACCGGTGGTTCTTGCAGCACAGACCCCAGATTGGTTATATCAGGTAAGAGAGGAAAGGATAGATAAGGTGTCTGCCTAAACTGTTGTTTCTCAACACCTAATTCCAATGATAATCTGAGAATTTATAATATGTCTGGGCTTTGCACTGATGAAGCCTTGTAACAGGTTAGACTTCTGAAATTCAGCCTGCAATTCTTTTTCCTAGGGAAGCCAATTTCAAACTAAGCCTGTTTGTAATTGAGGTTTTCTACCATCTGGCTGTTGTAATTGTGCCCTACCCTAATAAACCCTTTTCTGGCTTTAATACCTTGTTATCCAAGCCTCTGCTGGCCACTGATCTGAAAAACAAAACATTTCAAAATTTCTTAATTTTGATTTTTAGAATATTTTTGTTGGAATTGTGACAGTTCATTTGCATATTCTGGGATAATGCAATTGATACAAGATGTCCACTTAAAGGCTGTGATCCTAACTAAGATCCGTAATAATTTTGATGTGATAGATTTGAGGATACACAACATATATTCACAAAATTTGTCGAAGCTATGTAATATGTGTTAGCTATTCTTGTTACGGGGCAAAAAAGTTACTTATAAAAAACCTCATCACTCAGGAGGAAACGTTTCACTCTGCAACAT